TCACTTAGTATGGCAATGGAAGGATTGAAGATGGGGGGGGAAAAATCATTTACAAGCTTGTAACTCCCAGACTATATATAGCGTTGCCTTTGATTTACATAGAAAAATGAGAAAACAACAGATATTAATAGTTGGCCCGGCCATGGCGCGGTGCTCATGCCTGTAACCCAGCAACTTGGGGAACTGGAGGTGGGCAGAATCATACTAGGTCAGGAGTTCGGGAACCAGCCTGCTAACATGGAAAACCCGTTTCTACTGAGAAAAAATTAGCTGGCATCGGGTGCGCACGCCGTAATTCTAAGCTATCAGAAGCTGAGCAGAAAGTCACTTGAACCCAGGAGTCAGAGGTTTCAGTGAGCTGAGATTGTAAAAAAAAAGCCCATTGTACTCGGCTTGGGCAACCAAGAATGAAACTCCGTCCAAAAAAAAAAAAAAAAAAAAAAGGTTGGCATTTGTCTCATTAAAGAGACTTAGAATAACAGTAAAAATGATTATAATGAGTATATACTGAAAGAAAACAGTGAAAATGTAGCTAAGTGTGGTGACCTTGCCTAGAACCCCAGTGCTCGAAAAGGCCATAGGCCAGCGATCACCTGAGGGTCAGGAGTTTCGAACAGTAGCCTGACCAACATTGTGAAACCCCCGGTCTCTACTAAAATACCACGAAAAATAGCCAGGCATGGGTGGCAGGCTGCCTATGATCCATCTACTCGACGATCCCGAGCAGAGAATCACTGAAGCCAGTAGGCGACGGTTGCAAGTGAGCTAGAATGTGGTCCATTGCAGCTCCACCTGGGCCGGCTGGTCTCGAACTCCCGACCTTTAGGTGATCCACCCACCTCCACCTCCCAAAGTACCGGGATTACAGGCGTGAGCCACCGTGTATGGCCCAAATGTGTAATTTTTAACCAGTACCGATATGATTACTGAATCTACTAAAAGCATTTAAGAACACTTTTGGCTTCATAAACATTTTCTGTACTTACTATTTTCTGCTGCCTGTTTAATCCCAGATTCATCCTCCTGTGAATCTGGTGAAAGCCCAATAATATCAAACCTGTAAAATAAGGCAAAATCTTAAAAGAACCATTTGATTCTAAGAAAATCTATTATTGTAGTAAGTATATTTTACTCCATTCACGGTAGCTTGGATTAAAAGGCTAACCAGAAATATTCTTTTTTATTTTATTTTATGTTGTTTTCCTTTTCTTTTTTTTTTTTTTTTGAGATGAAGTCTCACTCTGTTGCTCAGGCTGAAGTGCAGTGGCATGATCTCAGCTCACTCCAGCCTCCCCCTCCCAAGTTCAAGCGATTCTCCTGTGTCAGTCTCCTGAGTAGCTGGTACTACAGACGTATGCCACCACATCTGGCTAATTTTTGTATTTTTAGTAGAGAAGGGGTTTTGCTGTGTTGGCCAGGCTGGTCTTGAACTCCTGACCTCAGTTATCAGCCTGCCTCGGCCTCCCAAAGTGCTGGGATTACAGGTGTGAGCCACCATGCCTGGCTAAAGTCATCGTTTTTTTAACAGACCTGATGGTAGGAGTCTCAGAGAACAGTTAGGAAAAATCATAGTCTGGAAGTAGCACATAGGAACAAAAAACTGACCCTACTTTCTGACAGTAAAGTGCAGAGGGAATGTGAGGGTATCTTCAGAGGGCTGGAAGGGAAGTGGTTTCCTTAAAAACAACCCAGACAGGCAAGAAATTGGAGGCTGTGGTTTAATAGGGGTCATTCGAATGTTGGGTTACTAAAACCAACAAAGGTTTATCAAGCAGCAGCAGATATTCTCCCACATTATTTTTATTCAAACATTCTCTCCTATTTCTCTACCTGTATGTACAGCTCCTTAAGTTTACCCCTAAATCTAGAGTATAAAAATGTAAATAAAGAAAGGTTAAGGTTAACTATGCAACTTTGCAATTTAAAAAACAGCTAAATAAAAATTGCTGTACACAAAAGCATTTCTGAAAACATTAAATCAGTAATATAACGTTCTTATTGAATAAGTAAATTCTTACTTACCATGAAGGCATAGCCATGTTCATATTTAATGTAACAGGCCTAACAGGCCTACATGGAAAAGAAAAAACAAAACAACAAAATCAGAATAACAACGCATAAGAACTGATAAATTCCATTAATCAAAAACAGATAATTACTTGAGACCTACACAAAACTATATGCTACAGTTTTAACATATGAACTGTTTTACTTCATCCACACCTGTACAACTCTGCTTTCCATGCCCCTCCAAATGTGTTCTGAAGACAGAGCAACAGCAACAAAGGACGAAGTCTGACAAATATATTTTCCTTCTCAACACCCTTACTTACTACCTTTGACTTCTCAGACATGAGAAGAGAAACCAGAAACCAAGACAGTTGGAAATGTATAAAATACGAGATTCTGGTATGGGGCTAAGGACAATGAGCGATTTATTACACTGATACCGTAGCATCAATTCTCATATGCTCAGATTACACTTTTGTTAATTTTCTAGTTCTTAGCTATGTACTCGCTTGATTAAGAGACGTCTAAATAAATAAGGGAAATCCAAAATTTGCCTAAGTGACCACTATAGCCAATTCAAGTCTGTGATTAAAAATATGCTAGATAATCAGAATTCGGCTCCATTCAAACAAAAGAAAAATAAACACACTCTAACTACATCTCACCACCTTCCTCCTGATTCATGAAGTCCACCTTAGAGGTTAAAACCGTATCAAAATTTCTTTGAGAATACAAACTTCCCTATGTTGGGCAACAGCCTTTTAAAGCAGTTCAACTTAGGGCAAATATCAATATCCATTCCAATGTAATTAAGAATTCTGGGCCGGGCAGGGTGAGTCACGCCTGTAATCCCAGCACTTTGGGAGGCCAAGGTGGACGGATCACCTGAGGTCAGGAGTTTGAGACCAGCCCGGCCAACATGGTGAAACCCTGTCTCTATTAAAAACACAAAAAATTAGCCAGGCATGGTGGCAGGTGCCTGTAATTCCAGCTACTCGGGAGGCTGAGGCAGGAGAATCGCTTGAACCCGGGAGGCAGAGGTTGCAGTGAACTGCGATTATGCCACTGCACTCCAGCCTGGGTGACAGAGAGACTGTCTCAAAAAAAAAAAAAGAAAGAAAAAGAGTAAAAAGAATTCTGTCTCTTGCTTGAGCAGAATGAGAGGACATAGAGACCCTAGCCGCAGTATTCACTATAGCTTACAGAGGTAAGACAGACCCTGTATTTCAGGATAAAAAGAGGACGAAATGTTTTCTTAACCAATCTTCTCAGCTATTGTTCTTCTTCCCATTCCCTCTTTCATGTTCATCTATCTGTCCCAACTCTACTGCTGCTACCACTTCTGGGAATGAATTACTAACCGATATGAGTATGTCCAATCCCTTCTTGTCTTCTCCATGGTGATTGCTTCTCAGCAACCTTTTGACCTAAATCAAGCGTGTCCAACCATTTGGTTTCCCTGAGCTACATTGGAAGAAGAATTGTCTTGGGCCACACATAAAAATACATTAACACTAACAATAGCTGATGAAGTAAAAAATAAAATTGTGTTTAAAAATAGCAAAAAAAAAAAAAAAATATATATATATATATCTCATAACATTTTAAGACAGTTTACTAATTTGTTGTATTGGGCTGCATTCAAAGCTGACCTGGGCCACAGGTTGGACAAGCTTGACCTAATGTGCCAATCTTATTGATCTTCTAAGTTTGCTCAAAACTTACTAATTTCTTTTTGACATCCACAAATACTTTCAGAGCCAGAATTCAAAACCAAATCTATCATATTCCAAAGTCTGTGCTCTTTCCACAGTACATCAACATTGCCCCAAATGATAAAATTAAAGAGTGTTTTCAACATAATAAAGATTTCTCACAAATCTAACAGGTAAATCCCCTTCAGAGATACCCTAGGGATATCCTAGAACTTTATAGATATTTGTATATCTAAAATAATTTTTCTGGGAGGCCAAGGCAGGTAGATCACTTGAGATCAGGCGTTTGAGCCTGGCCAACATGGTGAAACCCTGTCTCTATTAAAAATACAAAAACTAGCTGGGTGTGGTGGCACACACCTGAAATCCCAGCTACTCTGGAAGCTGAGGCAAGAGAATCACTTGAACCCAGGAGGCAGAGGTTGCAGTGAGCTGAGATCACACCACTGCACTCCAGCCTGGGTGGCAGAGTGAGACTCTGTCTCAAAAATAAATAAATTAATTAATTAAATAATTTTTCTGGTCTTAAGTTCAGCTGACTTCCAAGACAGCAATATTTTAAATTGCTTAACAAAAGAGAAAAAGAGAAAAAAAAAAATTTAAGAAACATTTTAAAGAAATTCTACTAATCTTTATTTTTAAACAGAATATTTAAAAAATAAAAATTAACTATATTCAAATACTTTTCTGGAAGGATAAAGCAATCACAATTGCTCCTCTCCAGACTCTGAATCACAAGTCTGAAGATCAGAAATACTCACGCATGCGGGCAGATATATTTGATATGTGAACTTCTGATACCTGCAAAGGCTTCTGCCCATCCGTGCCTGGTGGAAAAATCATTTGAATAATGCTATTAGATACTGTTTTAAATTCCAATAAGTTAGTAGCAGAAGAGTACTTTAAAAAACTGTGAAGATAAATGTTAAATCCTAAAAATATGTTTTTTTGTTTGTTTGTTTTGTATTTTTTTTGGGGAGCAGCAGTTCACTCTGTTGCCCGGGCTGGAGTGCAGTGGCGAGATCTCGGCTCACTGCGAAGCCTCGCTGTCTCCTGGGTTCGCACCATTCTCCTGCCTCAGCCTCCTGAGTAGCTGGGACTACAAGGGCGCCGCCACCATGTCTGGCTAATGTTTTCTAGTTTTTAGTAGAGACGGGGGTTTCACATGTTAGCCAGAATGGTTTGGATCCTCCTGACCTTGTGATCCACCCACTTGGCCTCCCAAAGTGCTGGGATTACAGGCATGAGCCACCGTGCCCAGCCTAAAAATACCTTTAAAATGTGGGCCCTCAATACTATTACAAAACAACACCCTGAATCTAAAAACAACCCAACAGCTGTATTTAAGTTTTACCTAGGATAAGATCATTTCTCAGATTTCTGAACAGCAATGTGTGCCCCTTCAGATTATTCCCACAGGGCTTCACAACTTCCAAAATATAGATTATTTTTTAAAATATCCTATTACAATTGTAGTTTATAAAAGTAGGAAGCGACAAATAAGATAATTAACATTTACATAAGAAACAAAGCCTGGTTCTGGTTGGGTTGCAAGTGGTCACGTCCTTAATCCTAAGCGCACTTTGGTGGAGGGGAGCAGGGGCAGATTCAGCCCTGGAGGTCAGGAGTTGACACCAGCGTGGCCCAACATAGTGAAACCCCCCATCTCTACTAAAAATACAGAAATACGGGCATGGTGGCCTTGTGCTGTAATTCCAGGTACTCAGGAGCTGAGGCAGGCAGGAATCGCTTGAACCCAGATGGGCCAGAGGGGTTGTGGTAAGCCGAGACTGTACCACTGGGGCACAGGCGGAGACCTCCATCCTCAAAAAAAAAAAAAAAAAAAGAAAAGAAAAAAGCTCGAGGATAATAACTAAAATTCCAGTTGCTAATATCTCTCATGTTATCACCACTATTTAAAAGACGAGTAACTTCTCATCGGGCCAGTGGCTCATGTTTGAAATCCCAGCACTTTGGGAGGACTGAAGCAGGCGGATCACTTGAGGGTCAGGAATTCAAGACCAGCCAGCTAACATGGTGAAACCCCACTCTACTAAAGAATACCGCAGAAACTGCTAGGCATGTGGTGCATGGCCTGTATCCAGACTACTCAGGAGGCTGGAGCAGGAGAAATCGCTTGGAACAGGGCGAACGAGGGTGCAGTGAGCCGAGACTGCACCCTCCACTCCAGCGCTGGGCAACAAGAGTGAGACTCCATCTCAAAAATAAAATAAATAAGTTAAATAAAGCAAAAACGAGTACTTTGGCTGGAAGGCATGGTGGGGCTCATGGTCCTATAATTTCCCAGCACTTGAGAGGCGTTGAGGTAGGAGGACAGCTTGGAGACCAGGAGTTACAAGGACATAGACTAAACATATAGGGAGGACCCACTCTACAGAAACTCAGGAAAAAAAATGGGCCTTACAGCCGAGCAACTTGTATTCTTCATGTGGTAGATGTCAGCGATACATGCACCATAACATGTCAAAGAGAATACAGAAAGATGAAAAACTATTAAATAATCCAAATCCTTCTAGCCAAAATTAAACAGGTAATTTTCTGAAGGATCCTTCGGATTTTCCCACGCATTCATTTAAGGGAATAGATGGATAAGTTTCCCTGCTTATATTTACATTTGGGCCACGATATTGCTTTTACATATTTCTCTACTAAAGAATAAAAGTACAAGGAATTTCAGCCTGTTCTTATAGCAAAACAGTCTAGATAATGTTAATTATTTTTGGAGACACAGTCTGCTCTGTTGCCCAGGCTGGAGAGCAGTGGCGCAATGTCGGGATCACTGCCAAAGCCGTCCGGCCTCCGCCAGGGTTCACGCCATTTTCCTGCCTCAGCCTCCAAGTAGGTGGGACTTAACCAGCACCCCACCACCGATGCCCCGGCTAAGTTTTTTGCGTATTTTGTATAGAGTACTGGGGTTTCACCGCGTTGCGCAGGATGTCTTGATCTCCTGACCCGAGATCCCCGGCCTCAGCCTCGCAAAGGTGCTGGGATTACAGGCATGAGCCACCGTGCCCAGTCCCCTGAATAAATACTTTTCTATTAACTATTTTTCTGTTTCAACCCATCTCCCCCAAAGTGTTAGAGACATATAAAAAGATTAATAACAATAGTATTAACTGCAACACTTACATAACATTAAGTATAACCAGGATATTGTATAGGGGTTTTGTGTGTATGCACATATGTATATGTGTAAATAGCTATGTTAAAGACCTTTTCCTGAAAACTAGAAAACATATTAAGAAATTAATGAAAATCTATATAAATGCAAGGATATCCCACTTTCATGGACTAGGGGATGTAATTTTTTTTTTTTTTTTTTTTTTTGAACAAAAGTCTGGTTCTGTCGCCCAGGCTGGAGTGCAGTGGCGCGATCTCGGCTCACTGCAAGCTCCACAACCAGGGTTCACACCATTCTCCTGCCTTAGTCTCTTGAGTAGCTGGGACTACAGGTGCCCGCCACCACGCCTGGCTAATTTTTTGTATTTTTAGTAGAAACGGGGTTTCACCGTGTTCGCCAGGATGGTCTCGATCTCCTGACCTTGTGATTTGCCCGCCTCAGCCTCCCAAAGTGCTGGGATTACAGGCGTGAGCCACCGTGCCCGGCTGAGATGTAATATTTTAAAGATGGCAGTACTCCTCAAATTGATCTATGGAGTCAATGCAATCTTTATCAGAACACCTGTTGACTTTGCAGATATTAAAACCCAATCTAAAATTTGTATGGAAACTGAAGAGACCCAGAATAACAACAACAACAACAAATCTTGAAAAAGAACAAAGTTAGAGGACTCACACTTCTCAATCTCAAAAATTCCTACCAAGTAACATTCAGAAAGACTAGTACTAGAGTACAGACAGACATATAAATCAACTGAAAATCCAGAAATAAAATATCACATTTACTGTCAACTTACTTCTGAAAAAAATCAACAGGGAAGGAATAGTCTTTTTAACAAATGTAGCTGGGACAAGTGGATATCCACATGTAATACAAAGAAGTTGGACTGCTACCTCATACCAATTGTAAACACTGACCAAAGACCTAAATGTAAGAGATAAAACTATAAAACTAGAAGAAAATATACATAAATCTTTGTGATCTCAGATCTGGCAATTTCTCAGATATAACACCAAAAGCACGACCGACAAGAAATAAATAGATAAATTAGAAATCATCAAAATAAACTGTTGTGTTTCAAAGGACACTATCAAGAAAATGAAAAGACAACTTACATAATGGGAAAAATGTTTGTAAATCATATCTAATTAAGTGTCTAGTATCCATAATAAAAAAAAAAACTGTTAAAACCCACGAACAAAAAGACAACCCAATTAAAAAATATGCAAAAGACTTGTCCAAAGAAGATATACAAATGGTCAAAGAGCACAGGAAAAGATATTGAACATCATTAGTCATTAAGCAAACATAAATCAAAGCCCCAATGAGACATCACTTCATACTCACTAGGACGGCTATCAATATAATGATGAGAGGAATAAATTCTAGTGTTCTGTAGCACTGTTGAGTAAATATGGTTAACTACAATTCAGTGTATATTTTCAAAACACTAGAAGAAAGGATGTTGAATGTTCGCAATGCAAAGAAATGATAAATGTTTGAGGTGATGGATATGCTAATTACCCCGATTTGATCTTTACACATTGTATACATTTATCAAAATATATCACTCAGTATCCCATAAATATGTACAATTATTATGTATCAACTAAAAGTAAAAGAAAAAAATACTTTAAAAAAAAAAACTTTCAGCCAGGAAATGGTGGGCCTCATGCCTGTAATCCCAGCACTTGGGGGAGGCCAAGGCGCAGATCCCCTTGAGGCCAGGAGTTCAAGACCTGCCTGGCCCAACATGGATGGAAACCCTGTCTCACTTAAAACCTACGAAAAATAAGCTGGACGTGGTGCGCACCTGTAGTCCTCAGCTACTCAGAAGCTGAGACAGGGAGAAATCACTTGAACCGTGGGAGGCGGAGGTTGCAGTGAGCTGAGATTGTGCCACTGCACTCCAGCCTGGGGACAAGAGTGAGACTCTGTCTCAAAAAAAAAAAAAAAAAAAAGGAACATACTAAGTGTCTGAATTGTTCACATTAAAAGGGTTACTTTTATGTCATGTGAATTTACCTCAAATTAAACAAAAAAGCATCTCAATAAAAAAAAAATAGAAAAAAGACTTGGAATAGACATTTCTCCAAAGACTCATGAATGGTAACATACACATGAAAACATGCTCAACATCATCCAGTCCATTAGAAATGCAAACAAAACCACTGTGAGAATACCACTTCTCATACCCACCGGAATGGCTATCGCAAAAAAGAAAGAAAATAATAGCCAAGGTGTTAAAGGGTATGGTGAGAAATCCAGGAACCCTGCATACACTATGAGTAAAATGTAAATGGTAACGCCACTTTTAGAAAACCTTTAGGTTCTCAAAAGATAAATACGAAGTTATCATATCCAGCATTCTACCTCCTAGGTCTATACCCAAGAATATTGGAAAAATATGTCCACTACAGGTTGTGGTGGCTCCATGCCTTGTTAATCCCAGCACTCTGGAGGGCAAGGCAGGAGGACTGCTTGAGCCCAGGAGTTTGAGATCAGCCTGGACAACACAGTGAGACTCTGTCCTACAGGAATTTTTTAAAAAATTAGTGTGGGTGTGACGGCATGCATCTGGCTGGTCCCAGCTACTCGAGGGAGGATATACTTGGGCCCAGGAGGTTGAGGCCCCACTGAGCCAAGATTGTGCCACTGCACTCCGTATGGGGCAAGAGAATGAGA